CCCCGCTTCACGTAGCGCCGTTGCTCTTCTGTCTCGCGGATCCTCTTCTCGCTCACCCTCTCCCCTGCCCCTCCTCGCACCCCTGACCACCGCCGTCCCCTCTCCCCCGCCGCTTCCACGAGCACGAGCTGGTAACAAGGTTATTTTATTAAACGAACCTCCACCGCGCGCTCGCTCGCCAACGTCGCCGGAATTCGAGACGCGCAGGAGAGTCTAACCACGAGCGAGATACACCGTCGTCCTTGCAAACAAAACGAGAAGGTGGAAGTAGAGAATGCTTAGCAGGGTTAGCATTCGCTGCGAAATGCTTTGGGCAATGTCGCACCGTATGTACTGTAAATATGTTTGCGGAAAAAGTGGAACGTGCGGTAAGAAGATCGATTCGTGTTAACTCGAGCCCGCTCATACTGCTTTTCGCGCGGGACGTCGAGCGTCACGGGTGGGGAAAGAGAAAGGAAGGATTATAACCCCGAATTCGTGAAAATCCGCCGTGAAGATTTTAGACATTGTAGGGGACTGCCGCGCATTCGAGTGGATGAAATAGGTCTTCTGATTAACACGTTGATTTACATTGTTTCAATGCTCAGACAAAGTTTGCATCGGGGTCCAAGATACGGCAAATAAATGCAATTCACGGTATACATATTAACTTGTCTCATTATCTTTATTATAACTTTTTACTTCATTCATTCATCGCTTTTATTTCAATTATTGCTGTCATCACCTATCTGAGTAACAATCTAACAGACTGAAAGAGCCAAATTGCAAAAATGTTGAGTGCTAATATAATTATTTAATAATGTGTCACGAAAAAAAATCTTTAGCTGCTGTAGACAAGAATCTGTATGTGGTAGTTAAATCTCGTTGTAACATACGGGTACCTAAAAATATAGTTGTCAGTTGTATTCTTACATTTATATTTAACTATAATTTTATAGTTAATTGTGTGAAACCGACGTGGTAGTAACACAGTTGTAAAAGTTTTAGTTATATCAACAAATATATATATATTTTTTCAGCAAACTATGATTAACTATGACAGTGAAATCTTTTTTTTTCTGGGTGAGTGTAAACCAAGTAATGATCTATCAACATTATTTTAAATTAGATATACAGTCTCCCTATTGGCTGTATATTTTATTCGTTATACGCAATTTTTTATGTTTTATATATTGAGAAAAAAAATTTGAAAAAAAACTATTTCTTTGGTGTATGAGTGCTAATAACATATTTATTTAAATCTGAATCTTTTTGTTTAAATGTAGTATAAATAATTATTTTCATGAAGAGCAACGATTCTCTCCCGTAGGGGAAAATATATATTTTCTTATTTGAAAAACATTTATTTTAATATAAAAATATTTATTTATACACCTTATTTGAAGAACATTTTTTTAATATAAAAATATTGCATATTGGTACAAGTATATTATTTGTATTCATCGAATAAATATTTCTTATTTTCTAGATATTTTTTCCGCAATTAAAATGAGGGTAAATTGTATCAGAATTAAACCTACTTCGTTAACTTAGCTCCTACTTCGTTGTAGAATTCAAAGTACATGGGTTAACATAGAGCCAAAATTTCGATTCGAGAATCGAGTCGTTGTTAAGTGAATAACTCGTTTTTCCTACGCTTTTCCTGCGTTCCAACTTTTCTTCTTTTGCCGTTGCTTCTTCTCTTGCGACACGCGTCATCTCCGTCGGGGGGATCGCCGCGTCCGCGCGACAGTTGCAGCCGCATAAAACGACGGGAGCTCGCGTAATGTTCCGCGCGGAAGGAAGCGGCCGTTCTCTCGATAAACCACCACCGGCAGGAACGGGGCCGAGGATAACGGGCATATTTTTAGTCTCTCTCGGCCTACCTTTTCCCGCCGCGGTTCAAATGGACTGGACAGCCGGATGACGGACCCGAGGTGGTTACTTATATCAGGGTGCAGGGAGAAAGGAGGAAGGGAGGGAGGAAGCGTGTATGCGTGCGCGCGATACACGCGTGCGGCATGCAGTTCGCAAACGTGGCGCGGCGCGGTGTAATCCAGTCACCACGTAATGCGATTACGCTCCTAACTCGGCCTCTCATTTTGTCCACCCTCCTCTTCCACCTCCTCACCCCGTCCGCTCTTTCCGTCTCTTTCTCGCTTTTTCGAAATCTCTACTCTTTCTCTGGCCGCGCGCGCTCGCGTCTCTCGCGCCTGAAACTCGACCATCCCTGGAGGCCGAGCAGCGCAGCCGGACAGCCGGAAAGCTGCAGCCGGCTATGCGAGTGGTTACAGCGCTGATAACGAGGTGGCTGAAATCTTCGACACATGTGTGTCGTTATTTTGCCATCCTCGGGCAGCGGGGAGAGTCTGTTGTCGCCTCGCTCGTTGCACGCAACGCAATCCCAGCGGCAACCATTCTCGAAATTAGCCACTTAAAGTTAACGTTTTGATGCTCATAAGAGAGAGAGAGAGAGAGAGAAAGAGAGAGATGGGGAAGAGTTTTTGTTATTTTTCAACGCTGATAATCCCACGGGTATCCACGATTATCCCCCCTCCCAGGAAAAGAAATGTTCCTCCCGAAAGTCGCCCGCGACAGGAGGACTCGTCGTAATTCTCCATTAGCGTTGTATCCATTTTTCATCAGTAGTCCTTGCAATTTTCAAGTCCCACTGAAGCGATTGATTATTCTTGAAAAAGCTGTACTATCACTATCAAAGTTACACATAGACGTGAAATAAAATTGAGATGTATTGAATTTCTATAGAAAATCGAAACGTAAGAGAGATCGCAGAGATTTCTCAGGTACCTCCCTCCCCACTTCCTCCCATTAATTACGCCCGTGACCGCGAATGAGCACAAATAAATAAATGCGACAAATAGCGACAATTGAATCGGCCGGGAACGTTCAGCGGCGTTTTTCTCGCGAACCCAAATCCGCGCGCTTCTCTTCTTCCGCGATTCCGGCGCTCGTCAGGGGACACCCTCGGCGCAGGGTGGCGACGCTCGCGGAGGACGCGCGGAGGACGACGTGGTTCTCGCGGCTAATACGCGTTCCAGAGGATCGCTATGGACTCGAGGGGGTAAACGCGATTTACACCATGACGACTATCGCCTCTCTCCCCAGCAAAGTGCTTATGTGCAGCCTCGCGAGCGGACAAGGGAGGGTGGCCGAAGGCATGGGAGGAAGACAGGGGGGAAAAGGGTGAGTTGTTACGACACACCGGGAGACAGGAGATTCCTCTCGCGCTCGCGCGCGGTCAGGACGAGAGAGGGCGCGGGGAGTGAGTCGACGGAGGTCGGGAGGGAGGGTGGAAACGGGGGAGAGGAAAAGTAGGGATGTTTGTCGTACGCGTTATTTGGCCAATAAAACCACGTGGCGGCGCACGGAGCACCTCCGCGTCGCCGCCGTCGCGGAGAGACGATCGTCAGAAAGAGCGAGAAGGAGAGACGAGGAAAGAGCGAACGAGAGCGTGAAAGAAAGAAGGAGAGATAGAGAGAGAGAGAGAGAGAGAGAGAGAGAGAGAGAGAGAGAGAGAGAGAGAGAGAGAGAGAGAGAGAGAGAGAGAGAGAG